ACACACGCGCGTGGACACGTGCGTCGCCGGCCGGCCGGCCGACTCGGAGGAAAGATGGAACAGGGGTTATTTCTGTCGCCATCAGTCACTCGTAGCGGGCTTAAGTCGCGGGGCAGCGCGAGCAGGAAAGGAGACTCCGATTTCGTTGCGCACAGACATGACACAATGCCGCGGTCTCTGCTCCTTTTCTGGAATCGCCGTGCCACGCGATCCTCCCCCATGCTATGTTGTGACTATTATAGAAGGAGAGTGTCTACACATGGTAGAGACAGAGAGCAAGAGAGTGCAGTAGGAAAGCAGAGGGGAGGGCGTTGCACCAAACGCGGAGTGCGCCCAAGCGTGGGAAAACAATAGCCAGGAATAGTCGTTTAAATTCGAGGAGCTGGTGGCTTCTCGACGAGAGATTCGAGTCGACGCGGCTCTAATTATAGAATTAGTTAACGTCGAAAACAAAGTAATAATTTCGAAGTTCTTCCTCGTTGCTTCCGTCATTTTCACGATACGCTCGTCGCAATGCTGTCCGAAGCTGCTTCGCACGCTCGATTTATTTGATTCGTATTTAATCGCGTAATTATTTCCGTAACTTGGTCGTGAAGACTCGCTTCGTCCACGATTACGTCTCGCTCGAGTTGCGCAATCCGGCCGTGGGACGCGCGTGTCCTGAAGCATCGACGGCCAAGCCAATTCAGGAACGGAAGGATACATCGCTCACGACAAATAGCTCCGCAGTAAACGTTCTCAGACCGCGCCTCGGCCAATTTCCTGATCACTCGTGTCTCCTGTTCCGTGTCAATCTGAACCACGCCCGGGTTCAATGTTTCGCGTTCGCTGTACACGCGTTGGAGGATGGTGTCGGGTACGGTTTCCTCGAACGCACCTCCTCGGCATTCATCGAGCGATCGACGCGGTACGACTGCAAGGTGCGTCGTCGGGGTGCAATCGTCGAGAAAGAGAGAAGAGGTCGTGATTCACGATAATCGATGGGTGCTCGGAAGACAGGGGGATACTGGGTACGCGCTACCTTGAACTCGGACGTCGGGATCTAAATCGTTCCTCAGCTTTCCCGGAGAACGGGGAATGAATGTGGAATGTGGGAATGTTACACGATGAGCACGAGAGAGCTATTGCTGGCGGAATAAGAGGAACGCGTTGACAATTGGGGTTTTTGGCAGGGAAGAGAAAACGCAAAGGTGTCGCGATGAATTGTCGTATTGGACGACTGTGTGACGACATTTTTCTCGTATATTTGAGCCAATGATGAATTTTTCAATAATTTATTTTATGTAAGTACAAAAAATATATGATAACATACTGAGCACATTTTCTGAAATGCGACATTGAAACCTGATCTACGATGTGCTCTTAGCTTCCTGTTTCTTATTCTTTATTTTCTTCTAACCAAAGACTCAAGGTTTAAGTCAGAAAGAGATAAAGAGAAAGAAATAGGAAGCAAAGAGCATATTGTAGATCGAACTTAACTCCCGCGAATTAAAACGTTCGCGCTGCTTTGACACAGCCCGATAAAAGACACATTTGCATATCATTAGACACTGTCCGAAAGAGCTGTCATTGTTGCCGCTTCCCTATTCAAGCAACTCCCTAGGTTGCAAGAGAAATAGGAGAGACAGACTGCAGCGGCAGCAGCAACAGTCCGTCACGCGCACAATGCGTCTGCTCGTTTTCTGAACGCCCCCTTGCTTTTTTCTCTCCCGCGCACATAATGCGCGCAGTTTGGTGCAAGCAGCACGTCCGGGAGATTTCTGCCACGTTGTTCTTGAAATAGGGAGCTACATGAGCGCGAACACGCGCACGGAGGCTTAGAGAGAGGGACTCGTACGGATTCGTCATCGGGCACAGAACAGCGCGAGCGAAGGCTTCGCCTTTTACGTGGCGGACATTAGTTTTGTTAGGGATTTTCTGGCGAGAAGGACGAGACCGCTTGGCGTGGGACACACTCGCGCTCTATTTGCATACGTCGCTTTCGCGTGACGGGCAGAAAGGGATTTACTAATTTAAAGAATAATTTTTGGAACACGCGAGTCACAGTGCAACAAAAATTAGCATCCCCCAAGTGTGCAAATCTCCTAATCTCGCATTCTCGTGTATGGCGATCGATTTGGCCGCATGCAAATTCTAATCCCGACGCAGGTTACTCAACATCGACATTGATTACGCATTCAAGAAAGCGAGCCAATCGGGAAAAATATCGGAACGCTTGTTGACTACGTAAAATATTGCGGCGTAATTATCATAGTCGGATTAACGCGCGTTAGTATAATCGTTAAATGATCCTTTTCGCACGATAACGCCTTCTATACGGGTGTTAACACGACTGTTATTAAATATTGTTTAAGTGAGTTTGATACCGAAGGGTCATTATTCCCCGCTATACGTGGCTACGTGGTGGCGTATAATCCGCACGAGGCGAACATTAATCAAGAATGATGGATCGTGAGTCGTCTTCTCGCACCAGATAATACTGACTAATAATAGCGACTTTTGGCAGGATATGGCGCATAATTCCCGACGCGTATCTCAGATCTCAAATCAGAATCAAGATCTAACCGGGGAATTAATGCTGCTATTTATCACGCCGGTTAACCCTTCACCTCGTACAAGCGGAACCCGGAAGTACAAAGAGAATGAGAAAGAGCATGTTAACCATCCGCGTACAATCATATTTTTCGAGACACGCAATACAATCTGCCAAACGCGAAAAATTTTTAACTATCATGTAATTTTATTGAAAATCAATATTTTTGATCATATTTTTTCTTCAAAATATACATTGAAAAAAAATAGTCGAGAAACTATAATAATATATAACTATAATATAATTAAAATTATAGTTATTTTTATTCCAGTATTTTTTGCTTATTCTAACACGGAAATGGTAATAGTAACACATGCACATGAGGTTATATTATCACTAACATTATATAGTAGAATTTAATAAAAAATGTTTTCTTGGCCATAATCTATAGTAATTATTTTTCTACGTGGTTCTAATTAAAAATACTAAAAAATACTAGATAAATAAATACTAAAATGAACTAAATACTAAAATATATTTATAAGATATATAAAATATATTTCTGTAAAACAAACTTTTATCCTATAATTAAACGTTCAAATATTTTTTCAGTGAATTCTGAATCATTTTCCTATCGAACCGATTGATGAGGAAATATACTAAGAAATTGAAGTTCCCATTACACATCGATCTTTTGTCAAACCATTTCTATATCGGGAAGAGAAAAAGTATCTCGGCCGATCACTTCCCCTGGTGCAATTTCCGCGACGCGATGATCAATTCATTATCACCGGCGCGTCGTGAACTGTCTTTTTTTCTTCCGATCTGACCACTCGAGCAGCTCTCTCTCTCTCTCTTTCTCTCTCTTTCTCTCTCTCTCTCTCTCTCTCTCTCTCTCGTTCGCTTACTTGCTCGCTCTTTCTCTCACAAATAGCCCTTCTCGCGTTTCTTACGTGCCGTAGTACGCGACGTATACGCGTGTAACCTGTTCAGGTGTGGAACCGGCGCGACGACGAACCTGTTCGCCGCCGCGGCATCTCCGCGCGGCATCTTCGGCGCACCTCAACCTGTTCGCCGCGCGCACGACTGGTTTCGCGTTGCGCTCTGTCAAAACCTGTCGATGGATGCGTCGCCTAGCAGAAGATGACGGGATCGGGACCGCGTGGAGCTTTGATTACACGTCCATCTTTCCTCCCTGTTCCGCTGCCTCACGGCTGAGGAGACGTCGCGTCCGCGAGTCGGCGTCGCGCTCGTACACGAAAAAACTGCGATTTTTCGGTGTATTGTAATTACAAACGACGGCCATCGGAACGTAATTACACGCGGGCGCACGCTGTACGTCGTAATTGACGTCTCTGATCGATCGGAACTCGCGTGGCGGAGCGCCGATACGGACCTGCGTGTGGCGTTTCTTGCTAAACTGGCCGACTGTCCCACGAGGTTTACGACACGTGAGATTGTGATTTATTGAGCGGGAAGTTTCTTGCAATATAAATTTCTACAATGTGTATCGTTGAATGAACACCAGCGACTCCGGTATCGAACGTGTCTGAGCGGCCGCGGCAGTTTGCGAAGCAATAGAGTAAAAAAGTCACAGCAGCGCGAGAACGCCGCTGATAGAGAACTGGCTTTTTCCTCGTCATTTTCCCACATCAAACGAATTTATGCGACGCTAATACACACCTTCGACCCCACAGGCGATCGTTTGTATCGAGTAAACACACAAAAGACGCCTGTGAATCGGAACTCACGTTGATTTATCGGCACGATGTAAGGATTCACCAGTAAGACATCGGTAGCCTCATAAAACGAAGATAAAAGAGAATTAATGACTATAGAGCAAAGTTTTAACGACGCTCGACTCTATTTCGGAACCTGACGCGGTGGCTTGGTCACGAAGGAGTTAACAGAGCCGTCGGAAAATCCACGTTGAGCCACGTTGCCTATGATTTTATGTCGGCAGTTAATCACAACGACGGCCAAGGCGTCTAAAAGATCGTTTATGATTGCAATTATCCGCGCATATCGACTAACAAAATAAATAATAATGACATTTATATGTTGATAAATTCAGATGCTTGGAATGCCCTCCCCCTCAAAGATGCGTTTGAGCCAATAGATACTCAATGCAACGATCGATGATGGAAACTCGACAATTTTTAATTACATTCTTGAGGAAATATATTGTACTGATTTGATCATTGAATTTCCATCATACTGGATCTGAATGATACATTCCTTGGTATTAACACTTGGCCCATTTTCCTTCACCGTCATCCCGATTAAATTCAGAAATCTTTCATCCACTGAAAAAATACTTGAACATTTAATTATAGGATAAAAGTTTATTTTACAGAAATAGATTTTATATATCTCATAAATTTTTATATATTTTAGTACTTAGTTTATTTTAGTATTTATTTATCTAGTATTTTTTAAATGCAGAAATCTCATTTTCTAATTTCAGGCTCGACCTTAAAGAACAGCAGCCTCTTTCCGTCTATATTCAACGTCGCCGCGAAAGCAGAGATTTACGTGAATGCGACATGCGGCGAGGAGGGCCCGGAGACATTTTGCAAGCCCTCGGAATCGTCGAGATGCGCCGTTTGCGACTCCAGAAGTCCGGATCCCGGCAAGCGACACAACATCGTCAACGTCCTGCGTCTAAATTCTGGCAAGTGGTGGCAGAGCCCGACGTTGGCCAGAGGCAACCACTACGAGTATGTGACGATTCTCCTGGATCTCAATCAGGTATGTAAAGCGGAGAAACTTTTTCTACAATTTCGCCGTTTGACAGAAGCCCTCTCTCTATTTCGGAATCTATCTGAAATATCTATTCTAAAATACAATAGAAGATATTCTAAAATAAAATAGAGAATCGCGTTGAACGCGCGGACAAGAGGCGAGATGCCTCGAGCGTTTTATATATCTGTCGGTCTTGCTCGCATTTTTTCTTACTGCGTCTCCTCCGAACATAACTCACGCTTTTTTCTCAAAACTTCGAAACTCGAAGCCCTGATATTCTGGTATCAGATTCAGGGTCGGTTTATCCAACCTCTTGCTAAGCTAACTAACAGTTAAATCTTACGTCTATTTCTACCTAATTTAAAGGAGAAACAAAGACGTATGAGTTAACTGTTAGTTAGCTTATCAAGAGGTTGGAAAAACCGGCCCTCAGTGTCTCGGTATCAAATGTGACTCGGTCAGAATAGTAAAAATTTTGTCTCCGTCGTTAGTGTCATTTATCGCGTCCGACATCCATTTCGGCTCCAGTTTCGACACATGAAACAAATGTGGAATGGAAAAATTTGCGAAAACAATGGAATCGCGGCGAAACCGACGGAACCAAAACAGAGAAAGAGAAATGCGATATAGGACTAAGCATAGGGCGGATAGAAGAAGAACTGAGTCCTTCGGAAGACCCTTCCCAGAAACATAAATGGCGGCTCGCAGGTATACACGCGGCTCTCCGTCCCTTAACGAATTGCGAGCGGCGGTGGCGAAAAACATTTTAACGAGCGCCACAGCCCTTTTCTGAGAGTTGTCCGTAATGAGGACGTAGTTTGAGAAACGGGTCATGGAACGAATCCGTAAAATGAAGTACTAACGCGACTGGCAAGTTAAATCTTGACGAAAGAGAGAGAAAGAGAAAGAGAGAGTCTCGCTTTGAGAACAAGAACGGTCCCGAAATGTTAATTGAGCGTTTCTGAACAATCGTCTCGCGAATGTCGATTTTTTATATAGACTCGGGCAGCCGCGAATGTTGCAAAAAAAACTCGTATATATGTATAAGAAAATGAAATTGGGCATTATCTAGATTATTTAAAAGCCACATTATAGGTCTGTATTGATAGTCATTACTTGAAACAAGTTCCAGGTGACGACTGTTGAAACGGGCCACAGTCATCACGTTCGCTTCTTTGACCCCGAAATCAATTAAACGTCGAATGTTTCACAGGACGAGCACGAGCAATTCTCGTTATGTATTGCATGGAAGAACTATCCTCCCACAGGACATAGTAGCCGCGGGATTCTCTCATATAATTGATACGTTAATACTCCCGTAAAATCGGCACCAGTATCACAATAATAATGAACATTAAGATAGGTGAAATCTTGCCGGTGCAATTAGGAGACGCGAGTAATCGGTCCCACAGCCTTGGCCCTTAATTGGACGCTGATTGCAAGCCTAATCCTCCCTCCGCCCTCGGGATATCTTCCGCGTGCAATCGCGCCGTGGGTGCGCCGCTCACAAAAGACGGTTCTCCCCTCCGTAATGGTCCATAATTAAAAGTCCCGACGGAGTATCGGATTAATAACGTGCGCGCGCGTTTCGAGCATCGGGTCTTTATCGTCTGAAAAACAAACCGCGTCCCCGACGAGGTGGGAACGATGATCGCTTCTTGACGACCCCGTCGCCGACGAACTTAAATGTAATTCCACGTCGTCGCGAACTATGTAATTATAGCGTCGGCATTCTCGTTACGGGAGTTTAATCTCCGTTGTCGACAAACTGCGTCGTTAAGTGCACGAGCGCTGTTGTCCACGACGACACTGTTTAATCGGTCGCGAATAATTTTCTCAATCAATTTAATTAATTCATTAGTAAGTTAAATCAATGAGTTTAATCAGTCAGAGGCGTGGTCAGTGGAAACGCGTGGCTTCAGAACGAAAGATCGTCGAAATGGATTTCTCAATTTTTATCGCGTGGTAATTGCTCCTTTGCGGTACATAACAATAGAGTCAATTACAGTACGTTGTGTAGATCGATACGATCGGAGGGAGATAATTAAGATATTCCGACGGGAAGATAGTACTCACTCTTACATAACGTTACATTCAGGTCTCTCTCTCTCTCTCTCTCTCTCTCTCTCTCTCTCT